CGCCGGAAGCATTCCCAATTGTTTCTATTTTACATAAGTTGCGGGCTGCTGCTTGTGTTTGTACCAACAACAACAACAGCAACAGCAACAACAGCAACAGCAGCAGCAACAGCAACGGCAACGGCAACCGCAACAGCAGCAACAACAGCAACAATAATCACCACCATAACGGTTATTATTAATTTCGCATTGTCAGGTTTAGTTTTTATGTTTTGCTAAGATTAACATTATGGTTATTTTGGCTCCCGCGTGGCAGCGTCTGGTGTCTCCATTATGGTTATGATTGCTATTGTTGTTACAATTCTGAAAATATTGTCATGATCAAAATCCCTTGTCCAGGCAAGCGACAAGCCGTATCAAGGTCCCTCCGTTGATGTGGGTCACAAGTTGGATCCGAAGACTAATGCCCTTAAGGAAACGAAAACCAGGGGGAAACTGAGGCCAAGGGGGTTCAGTAATCAGGGGTCTATGGTCTATCTTATGCACCTCTCACATGTTCCTCGTCAAGCCGCTAACGCCGAAGTCCACCACCCCACAGGCATACCCACATCCAAACTTCAACCCCTTGCGTTCACTCTTTAAACTTTGGCACAAACCCCACATCTCAAAGCCCTGAGCCCGAAGCCCGAGCTCCGAAAATCCGAAGCTCTGAACCCTCAGTACCGTCGGAACCAAAGGCCGGCCCCGAGAGAGCCGAGAAACCCCCTAAACCTCTCTTCATGATACTTCTGCTATATACTGCTAGAGGCGCTGCTGTTTGGGCTGTTTGGGCTTACAGTGCAAGGACCCGTTTTTCATTGGAGACTCCAGGGCTTCTTGGCAGCAATGCTTTTGGGACTTTGGATGTCTCGGGGTGGTTTTTGGCTCGCAATCGGACACTCCTGGCGAGGCATGTTTGCGATGGTCTGATTGTTGTAACAGGTTTGGGGCTTGGGGTGTTAGGGTTTAAAGTTTTCGGATTCCCGCATTACGCTCCCTGGAGGCTCACACGCCTTCAGGCATGGTGACATGGTGTCTGAAGTTGTAAGGAAACCAACAGCATGGCGACATAGAATCCTGCCAAGCAAACTCTGTCACCTTTCCGCGTCCACGTTCCATAACTCGGTCACGTTATCAGAGTCTCAAACTCAGGAGGCCAACGCTTCACCCGCGGCAAAGACATATAGCACTTTCGGGGGGCTTAGGATAGAGCCCCCTAAACCCTAAACCCAAAACCTTAAACCCTGCACCCTAAACCCAAAACCTTAAACCCTAAACCGTACACCCTAGAACCCTGAAACCTCTGACAGCAGTCAAAGCGAAGCGCAACTCTCAGGGGCGCCGACGCTCTTGCTCATCTCAGAGGCCGAGCTAAAGATGCTTCTGGTGGCGGCCTGCTGCTGACATGGGTAGTTCTCTAAGTTAGGATACCTTTTAGGGTCCCCAATGTAGAGAACTGGCCACCTCGTCTCTTATCGCAGCTATAACCCGGACAAGAGTGATATCCATAGCAGTGGTCCATTTCCGAAAGGAATGGAGATTGGGAGTTCGAAAGTAGGGTGGAGCCCCAGGGTTCAGGCAGTGCTTCGATACCTCGCAACTTCGCCAAGTCATAGGCAAAGAGGTCTACAGGGGGCTTAGGGGTGAGGGTCCAGGCATTTCGAGGGCTTCCGATGCTTGAGAAGAGAATGCAAATGCTAAGGCTCAAAGGGCGTCTAAGTGCCACGGTTGAAGAGTTCAGTGTCGACATGACACGAGGAGCCGAGGCCCTTGCAAAGAGAAGCCAGCCAAACAAGAACGATGACCGTGATAAGGATCTTCAAAGCGTCCGAGTCTGGATTCTATAAAATTCTCACCTCTTGCTTAGAGGATATATAAAGGTAACTGCACCACTGCGGTATTGGCACTGAGCAAGCTATACAAGTCATAGCTGGGTTCAGTCGCAGCCTACGCTGGCGACGACACGCTTTTTGGCACAAGCACGATGCTGAAAAAGGTGCGGTCGCGTTTTTGCGACAACTACATACGAAGTGCAGGTGTCTACAGAGAAAAACCGCAAGAAGCGTTGAATTTCGCTCTGTCTGTTAAGACTTCAGATTCTGGCCGAAATCTCTCGTGCCAGTCTGTTCAATGTAGGGGCCTTAAGCCTTAATGATCAAAATAGGGTTTTGGGGTGTACTTTACTGTAATCAAAGTAAGGAGCCACCAAAATAGTATCGGTAATTATTTAAGCCCCTGTATTAACTATTCATTGATGGTCTACACCGCCCGCTCACACGGTAAATGTAGCAGAGAGCATGGAGAGCAAGTGGTCCTGACCGTTGCGCGCCGCCAAATCGGCCTGGTAGGTTGAGCATACTACACCTACTATACAGCACATACTAGACAACACGGCACTGTACTAGAACTTACTATACGAGACTACAGGGCCAGGTACTCTAATCTGCTGGACTAATTATGCTCCAATGTACAATAACATAACACACTACAACATACCAAAAAATCCTCCAGTATACTGGAATATACTAGAACATACTATAGTATACTATACCAACTGAACCCAAAACATCCCTAAACCCTAAACCTGTGTGAATGCGCAACACCGGATGGCTACGGTTACCTGTAGACAAGTTGCCGGCGTGTCACCACGATCGTTCTCGAGCACTTGAGCCCCAAACTCCAGAAACAGCTGCGCCAACTCTCCGTCGCCTGTGGGATTATTATAGCACGATATATCGTAGTATAGTATAGTATGGTATGGTATCATGCAGTATGGTATATTAAGTATAGTATGATATGGTATAGCCTACTATCTGAACTTTGACGGAACAAGGGAGAGAAAAGCATAAACCTTTATTTCCATTTCATATTTCTACTTCAGAATAGCTAGTATAAGGAGGTCCCCCCCAAAAAAAAAAGAAAATGTAAGAGTGTGGTACTCCAGGGCCCAGCCTAACATAGCAGCAGTCCCTAATGGGGTGATGCCAGGAAGAGCTGCCACGCGCCCGGCCGAAATTGAGCCGGAGCCGAAGCCCAACAGTCCAGTGTGAGCACGGGCGGCCAATGTAATCAATCGGAACTTGCCAGTAGGACGTGCTTGCATGTTAATGTCTGCGCGGCTTGCGAGCAGCAAGCGGGCCTTGCTAGCGGAGAACCTGTTGCTTTGCCTTGCGAAGCCAGCGACACCATGTAGTGGACCATAGCCGGCTCCACTTGGCTCTGGGTTGGGATCGCACATTGCTTCTAGCAATGCGGCGACCGTGCCCGTGTCTGCGGAGGAAGCGGCCCCTGTCAGTGGAGCCAAGCCGAGCGGCGAGCAGATGGAATGAATGTCTGCCTTGGCCTCCACCAGCACCTGGCAGCTGCTTCAGAGAAGGGTTACTGCTCCTACGGCCCTACGGGGTCCTCATTCACAAGGAGGAGAAACGCCTCCAAACAGCGAAGACCAAGTATTGAAACATCCCCGCCTTCACTTGCTGCGCGGAGCGAGCGTAGAAAGCAGAATTGAGTCCACTGCGGTCTCTCGCATTTACATCTGCCCGAAGCTCTAGCAGTGTTGAGAGCACCTCTGCGCTTTGATGCGACTTTGCTGCCACCATAAGAAGCGTCTGACTGTCGTAGAACCCCAAGTCGCCCAAATCAGAAACTCGATAGTTGACGTCGGCCCGGCGCTTTATCAGCCTGGAGAGCATTTGCGCATCCCCTGCGATGACTGCGCACAGAGCCCCATTCATGATCTTGTCGGAAATTGCCTCATCCACAGGAGGAACTTCGCGGCGTTCTGAGAGCTTAGGGTCCCGCTCTACAGGTGGTCCCAAGATGCGGAACCTACTATGTCGGATTCCGTGTATTCGCAAACTCCGAACTAGTCTGTGGTAACACATGGGGCTGCAACATATGTCCATGCTGATGATCATCATCAACAACAACCACCACAACCACAACAACAGCAGCAACAACAACAACAACCAAGCTTCAGACAACATGCCTAACTGGGCTCGGAGATGCATTAATTTCTGACTGTTGCACACCCAAAACAGCCTAGATCCCGCATGAACAGAACAGGTCTGTATCAGTGTTCTACATTACGGATTTTATGAGGCTTTAGAGTGGCCTTAGCACTTATATTGATAGGGCATTAGAAACATGCTACACGCCTTGTAGAAGGAGCTTAAACACGTGACCACGATTAAGTCAGCGGCTGGGTTCCACACCCGACACCTTCAATCCCGAACCCGGCCCCTATTGAAAGCTTGAGCCCTAACCCTAGGCGTTCCTGGAGCACAGGTAGTCTTGGAATCGCCAATTTCGGCTTCTCGTAAGGTCCTTCACTTAACATTGAAGACTTACCCTATGCGTACACAAAAATTCTGGTTGTGAAGACCAATCAAGCTTCACCCCTGTGTCACGACGGCCCTGAAGGCACTAATCCCCTAAAACACAAACCTCTATACCCCGAAGACCGCGAAGCAAGCCTAGTCCCCAAATCTCAACCAACCTTTATACAAGGGTTTTTTTAAGCACCTTTTTCCGCCTAGCAATTAAGGTCGGCAGAATCCACATTGGGGAAGGCGGGTTTGGGGTTTAGGGGGGGTTTAGGGTTTCGACTCACACACTCGCTCACGCAGGCACTGGGTTTAGGGTCTTACAGTATGGTAAACCGCCGAAGAGTCTGGCCAGGCAGCGTCCTGGAAGCTTGGAAAGCGGAAGTTCTCCAAAAAGCCCACCTGGGGCTGCCCATAGAGGCCGTGTCGGAGTATTTTTGTTAGGGTGTCTTCGCCGTTTTGGATTCAGGGTTTAAGAGTTTATTGCGAGTCATAAAAGACGGCACTAACGCCTAAAATTTGAGCCCTCTGCTGCTTCTTAAGAATAAACTAAACTTGGATTTCTAGTGTTTTTACGACCAACAGGCCATAACAACAAAAACAACATTCAACCCTGACTCAAGCCCTAAAAATGAACATCTACCCATAGTCTCCCTTGTAGTTCCTTTGTTGGTGACCAAAGGATCCTGAACGTGAAGTTTGGCTAAACCAAAAAAGGAACAAAGACTATAGGTAGTTCGCAACCGCCGAGCTACCCCAAACCTTTACCCCCTTTTTGCCAAACCCTAAACAACGGAAAGTGTGTTTTCCAAGCCCTAAACCATAAGGATGGAAACCCCTAAACTCTGAAAAAGACAGTCTGCTTCCAACCGCCGGGCTACCAGGTCCCAAGGGAGGCAGGGCCGACCGAGAAGCTTCGCTCGGTAGGCCACATAGAAACCTGAGAGGTTTTTTTGGGTACTGCTATCACCGTTTACGCTCTCAGAACTCGGACTAGCCAGGCGAGGTCTATCAGG